AAAAATGTGGTTTAAGAAATTCTTATCAAATCATCCCTTAATGTAAGCAAGCATCTGCTCTCAATTCTTGAGCTGAAGAAAGGGGTTTACTGTCCTTGATTTATGATAACATTTATATATAAAAAATGCATAGCTAGTTTGAATAAATGAATAATCTCATTCAAAACTGATGGTAGTAGTAATAGTTTAGATTTTTAGTTGTCTTTGGTTGCAGGGCTTGTACCTTCTGTTGTCATTTTAATTTTTCCAAAACCTAGCACCTTTGCATATTGTGAAAATAAATGGATCCTATGTGAAGCTGTCTCTCTCCAGTGATACATCCACATACAACACACAACATTTTGTTTAGGTTGTGTCATAGGTTGTGTGGGGGGTCAATGTTAGGGTGAGTGGAAAACATTGTTCTGGTAAGAAACATTTTTTTTCATTCTGGATTTAGCTTAGAATATCATATTCAGAGTATCTTCACTGTATCCTAGGGTGGGGTTACTGTTTTTGTGGGTTGTTGGGTTGTTGCAATAAGTAGCAAGGGGAGGTAGATTTAGTAATGAACAACAACACTTACATGTAGAAATGTAAAAAGACCTATTTTCTAGTTGATTCTTGCTGATTATTAAATAAGCAAAATACATTCTTTAAATAATGTTATTATTTATGTATTAATAAATATTGAATGGTCCTGTTGTTTTTTTGTTTTGATGGGTTTTAAGTGAAATACCTGCCTTGAACCATGGCAATGTTTTGATTTATGGTTTAATTTAATGTTTAATTTATGGTCAGAAAAGGCTTAGGGGTGCTTTCTGAGCATCTGAGTAACTACAATATCTGTCCATGTGAGGAAGAAATGCAACTGGCTTTAGGTTAATGGTTTATTGAAGGTCTAGCCATGAGGGATCTCCATGTGTTTTTGTGAAGCATGCTTAGGTCTTACTGTGCTGTTGTGAAGAGTGCAGCAGGGCTCCCCATGAGTCCCGGTACAAGCTCCTTAGCCTACTGTAGCTATCCGTCTGAGTTGGGCTTTTCATTGCCTAGCTCATGATTTGTTATCCGTGGAGAACAGTCGTATGTTTCACAGGCAGTTTTGACAAGACACTCTGCAGGAGGGAAGGAAACTTTTATGCTGTTTTAACAAGATTAAACAGAGAACGATATGCAGTCTTCCGGCTGAATTTTTAAGAATGCTTTGCCAAGGTGAAGTTTTCATTGTTACTTAAAAAAATATGATTACTAAATGAAAATAAAAGTGTTGCTGAGGTGGTGACCTGTGATGAAATGGTAACTAGCCAGGGTGTATCCTGCCTTGCTTCCATGGCACTCTGTAATGGATAGTGTGGTTAAAAAAGGATGGATGGATGTTTGTGCTGGACATAGTACAGTTTAGAATAATGAGTAAGGCCCCAGGTGTATAAAACATTTATTGTGTAAAGTAAATTCCTTAAGTATTAAATGCAGATTTTTGCCTTGTGAACTTTGCTACTGATGTCAGTATGTTAAATTGCTTTGTGCAAAACCTTTAATTTTGAGGGTAAGCTTAGAATTGAAATTATTGGAAATTAAATTATCGGTCAATGTTTATGCAACTGGCCTCTGCAGATTTATGGTTGCAGATCTGAGGGAAAAGTGAACCACATGTGAAGTGGTTCTCAAAGTTCCTCAGGCAGAACACCGACAGCAGTCATCATCAAAACATTGTTCTCCTCATGCATCACTCAGAAATTAAGCTTATATTAAATTTATTCTGAAGTTTCCACTACTTATTTGGTGGCACTCTATGGCATAAACCCAGGCCTTCTGACTTCCTCAGTGCTCATCATGCTAATGCCCATTCCCAATCCCAAGTACCAAAACTTTGATAGTTTAGAGAGCTTCCAACTTCCTCATCCATGTGGTCAGGTGATTTAGAGGTCATTTAGAGCATGCAGGGAAAAGCCAAACATATGAATAAATGTAGGTTTGCTATTTTATGTTGAAGTCTAAAAGAGCATCCAAGTCATGTGCTAAGACAGGATCTACCACATAATGCATATTCTAGATTTTTAATGTTTCCATAATTAAGTGTGTTATTGTTCTCTGCAATTGTTTGACAGCAGAAATAATTCAATACTACAAGTTTCTCTTCAAAGACCTTTCTTCTGCTAGTCAACATGACAGTTTTGGTCTCCTTCAGTCGAGTGGCTTTTGAAAATATCTGTTGCGTATTTGCCTCATGAAAGAAATGCAGTCATTATGTGAAAAGAGAAAAGATTTGTATTATTTCTGCATTGCTGGAAAACCATTACTTCCACAATCACATCTTTCGATGTTTAGGGTTTTAATATCTAGCATATTAAGAAACACGTTTACTTTTACCCCTCATTGGTGTTATTTTTGCAAAACCTAAAGTCCTTTACTGAAGTAAATTGATACAAGATTAGCAGGTTGTCCTTGTTGTACTAATGTAGTTCAAGGCCACACAGCCATTAAGAATGACTAAACTATGTGAATAAATAACTTAACAGTGAGGATAATTATTTTAGCAAAATCTGTTTACAAGACCTCCATGCAACCATGGTCGTTGACAAAACAAAAAACAGAGTTGCTGGTAGTAAAAGCCATTAATCAGGATGAACTAATGAGAGCGTACAAGTGGCATAATTAAAGAGAGATGCAAAACTAGCACTTGAATAATGACACGTAAGCATTCTGTGGTATGTTTCTTAGTTTTAATGAAGTTTAAAAGACAACAAAAACAAGAAAATCAGGGCAGCACACAATAAGAACTTAACGCTGAAATGAATTGCAATATTATTCCTCTCCTGAACATCTTGTTCTTTGATTTGACAAGAGATCCATCATATATAAGAGATGAATTGAATGAAAATGTGGCACCTTGCTTTCTAAAGCTACTGCATGGCTTGTGGGTTATATTTAAATGTTATTTAGTACTCTAAACTGTAGATGCTATGTGAAAGGTGATCTACAAAGGTACAGTTCAAACATTTTTTCATCTGCATTTTCCTGTTATTTAGGCTGGCTTCCCTAAAACAGCTACTGTCAAGTCACACAGAAAAAAAAAACATCACTTTGAAGGAGAGAGTCATCAGAAGCATCTTTCAAAATGCCAAATTCAGAGTCCCAGAAGGCTCTTTACATGTTTCTGTGGGATTCTACGACAGCTAGAGTGTTTTTCTTTACCTAAAATCAGCATAGCAGAAAATACATTTTAGAAATATGACTTCAGATTTGTTATATATTGTACTGTGTTCTGTTAAATGTCTTTTTCATGGCTGTATTCTTATGTTTCAGTTTATTTCTTATGCCACCTACAAAAGCATTAAGACCTTTCTTGTAAAAAAAGAAAAGAAGGGCTTCTATGTGGCTCTGCCAGCCAGGTAAAGGTGCAGACTAAGCTCTGTATCTCAGACATTGTGTGTCTGAGTAACTTGCTGACTGTGTCTGGGATTTCACAAACATCAGAATCATGGGTAGAGAACTGCAGGGGGCAGAGTTCAGTTAAGCAGCTGAGACTCTTGCAACTCTCAGAGAAGCAGTAGCTCCTGTGGATTCTTGGTGTTGTCAGTGATTGACATGCCATTATTCCAATCAGAACTAACGTTTCTGTCAGGCACTGTAGAGCTTTAAGAATGTCAAGGATAAAAGACTTGATGAGTGGGTGGATAAGGGAAACATGTCTGCCCTTCCTTATTCATGTGCAGCACAGAAATTATTACTGTGGGCCAATACACAAAGAAAGAATGGGGAAGTTGAAATTAAAGCAAGGGCACACCCAACAGTTTTAAATTGTAAACTTAATAGTTTAATACCAACTTTTTGTTTCTTCAGTATGTGTGGCTGAACTCCAAATCTAAACTGTCTTCACACAGACTCATAATTTTCTAATGCAAAAAGACCACTTGGCACATGGAATGTGAAGTCTCCTGAAAGATCCCCAGAGGCAATTGTAGTAAGCTCACAATGATGTCTCTCACAGTTTATTAGCTAATGCTTTATCGTTTTATACCTGACAGAACCGCACTATGGAGTACTATGTAGAAGCTGGACATATATCCCAATGTTATATCCATAAGAACAGAAGTTGGTCAATTTCTTATGAAAAATCTTGCTGGAGTGAGCAAAATTAGTGCTTCCTTTTTTAACATTTTCATATTTTTAATTTTATAGTCAACCAATTTGGATGTGTCAAATTCTAAAGTTTCCTTCTGTAATGCACAGAGAGTAAATGTAAAGGCAGATATCTTCCTCTCCCATTCAGATTCAGATATCTTTGGCATCACTGAAAGCCTATAGGTGACCAATAAAAGTTAAAGGACTCATAATTTTGACTGGAAATCCCTGGTTGATTGATCCTATGCCTGCCCCTGATGATGCTCTAATATCATTGGAATCCTAGTTGTAGTCAGTGGCATGACCCAAACTCAAACGTGACATCTGGACCACAAAGCTCAAGTTTGTGCTGAGACTGAGCCACTTGGGAGCCCCAAAAATAGTTGGACTCAAAACTCATAACTGCAGTTAGAGCAGTAAAGATTAGTAATGTCATTTCACTTCACACTAAAAACAGTTGTCACATGCTGTGTCCACCCATCCTTTTGACACAAGAATTTAACTTAGAAACAGGCTTCTCTCTTCCAATTTAATTTACAGTTCAAGTGCAGCGCTGGAGAGACTCAGGAGCCTTTAAATCCTTTAAGTCAGCTTTTTTTCCTATATTCTTGGCAGTCTGTTCATCTGCTTGAAACATTGACTTCAGGGGGTTTCTAAATTATTCAGCATACCACCCAGCGCTTGTACTGTATTTCCACTCTAAGAGTCTGTAAGAGCTTTGCACCTCTTTATTTTAGCATCAGCTTTGATTTTTCATTATTCTGCTGCAAATATTCAGTAACGGTGGATGAACTGTGCACAAAAATGTGAAAAGATGACACAATATCTCAGAACATTAAAGAAGGTAACATAAGTTTGTTTTCACTCTCTTTCTTTCTCTCCATGCACCTGTCTAGATCCCAACGCCCTGAATGATCAGAATGGGCCAGATCATGCCGTCATTGGAGGAGTAGTTGCTGTTGTTGTCTTCGTCACCTTGTGTTTAATAATTGTCCTTGGCCGATATTTGGCAAGACATAAAGGTATGTTTCACATCAGTGTCATTTCTGTATACTCCTCTGGTCATTCATGAGTAAAGGAGCATACAGACTATATACAGTAGAGGACAATATAAGAGTATACATACAGTACTACAGTATATATTCTTATTGAGGAGTATGCAGACTATGTTGAAACAGACTATAGATCACAGAGACCCAGATGGTTGACTTTTCACATTTTAAACCTATACTTATGAGCAACTGAGCTTCCTGTGTCAGTATATTTGCTTTTTCTGTTTTAAACAACAAGAACAACATTAATCAATGTTAGTATTGAAATGTAATGATAGATATGTTCAGTCATGTTTAATAGGATTAGGTATTGTACAAACTGAACATGATGCAAAAGGCACAAAAGAGCAGTACTGTTGATGAGATGAGACCACAGGCGATGCTGAAGTGACACTAGGGCAAAGTAAAATATAGAACTGCGCTCTCATTTCACAGATTTGCTGCAGCACAGCTAGGGAGCTGAACAGTGTAATAACAGAACTGGTCATGCCTTGTAAAGTATGTATATATTAGCATATTTTTGTTGTATTAAAATAAACATAAAAAGTAAAAAAACATTAAGTAAAAAAGCACATAACCTGTTTAAAGTTTAATTGAAATGGGTTGCATTTCAATTTTATTTTATATGGTGGCCTCACAGCCAACTCATCCCAGAGCCCTTTACAAAATTGGAAACAAGAAAAGGTCACAAACAGCACAGAGTGGATTTGTAATTATCAGTAGTTACATAAAAGCACATTCAAACAATTCTGTTTTCTGTTTGGACTTTAGAAAGTCGAGATTTTCAGCAATCCTGCTGTGAACTTTAATTTGAATGCACTATGTCTGCACTGTATGCTGAGAATAGTTTAATATAAAACTACTTGCAAAAAATCCTAGTGTACAATGGACTGAGGATGTCTCTAACAAATATTCCAACTGTGGGGAGCACACCATTCTGTTTTGAATAGCACATTTGTGTCTGCCAAGAGCTCAGAGGTGTGCCTATGAGGGAATTTCACAATTTCAATCCCCTGAATTTCACAGGGGTCCAACCATGAACAAATATATTTTTAAAATTGCAAATGTCCTTATTATTTTGTTGCTCTTGTTTTTCTACACAGGGACATATTTAACAAATGAAGCCAAAGGAGCTGAAGATGCCCCTGATGCCGATACAGCCATCATCAATGCAGAAGGCAATCAGGCCAATGCAGAGGAAAAAAAAGAGTATTTTATTTAGACTCGGGCTATTCTGCTTATTTGAGTTGCTTAAAGTAAAAACCGGCAAATCACCTAAGCTCATTATTATTCAGTTTCATTTCCTGCCCTGGTACTCTTTCTTTTTCATTGTAATTCTTTAAAAAAACTTCTACAGCCTTCTGTTAATTGCCGGTTTTTACAAGCAACGAGCTGCTGAAGATGTCGCCTTTTATATTTACATTCTATCCATATAACAAAAGCCTCCAGTACCATTTAGACCATACTGTTTACCCTTTGCTTACACAGTGCCTAAATATACAGACATCCATTGAAGTTTGTTGGCTTAATTCATGTATCCCATAGAAAGGAGCTTGCTTCTTTAATCTAATTTTACCTTTTAATCTGTCTGGAGACAGAAGGGCAGGTGAAGGAAATAATTAGTTCCACATGTAAGTCAAACAATGTAAACTTGTGCCATCACAAGACCCAAATGTTCAGATGCAGGAAAGTGCTTTACCCTTTTATTTTAACATCTCATAGCAAACCAAACAAAAAAGGAGATATTGTTCCTGTGTCTGTCTGTATATGGAACTTTCTGTACTATTTATAAATTGGCTGAAGCAAGGTCATTTACTTAAAGTATATAGTTTTTAGATATGAAAAAGTGGATCTAAAGACAGTCGTGCAGACTTTAAGGTTTCTAGGTGGTTGCTTGTGGTACCACCTGGTAGTATTTGAAAAGTAGCTAATTGTAAGATACAGTGGATCACAATAAACATGTCTCACTAAAGGTCTGAGTCCTGACCTGAATTTGTGTCCATTTAAACACAGAAATACACATAAAGTGTCTAACGTAGATGTAAATGTCTGGTCTCTCACCATTAAAGCACAAGGTGAAGCTATAATCTTGTATGATAATTTGTGTTGCATCCTTAATGAATATTTAACATTTTTGTCTGTATATTCCAGCACTGTTTAGCAGTAGGCTTTTTCTCTGATCATAGTTTGATAAAAGAAATGGAAGCACAAATATCTAAGGAGAAACAGTATTAATCTACCAGCCTGTAGACTGCCTCAGGATTTGAACTAACTCTGTTAGGCTATCAAGAGATGTGATTTGTAATTGGCTGTTCCTGACTTAGGCCAATTAAGAAATACTGTTGGTTAAGCAAACTAGTCTACATTCAACAAGGAAAAAATATAAAGGGTTAGAGTCCTTTTGAACATAAAAATCTGCATCTTTTATTTTCTCTTTATATAATAAATAAGCTCCCTTGTTAATACAGCTGTATATTATGTCTGCTAAATGTGGTTAATAGTGAAAATTGTTGTTAGACTTTGAATCCCTCATACCTTAAATTTGTATATTAGCCAATTTATCTATTGAAAATAATCTATAAATATTTTCAATTTATCTGTTATTTGTCATTGCTCATATTAAAAAATGACAACTTTGTTTTCTTTCACCAGAAAGCATGTATATACAGTGTAAGTACTAAAATTTAGTAATACATATTTGTTGATTTTTTTTCAATTTTTTATTTTTTTTCTGTAACTGCTCTGCAAACATTAAAATACCAGTCTGTTAATTTTGAAGGGGGGTTGTCAGCATTAAAGTCTGAAACCTTCAGTAGTCACATTACAAGTTTGCTGAGAAGGTAAAAACTGCTGCAATACCAGATTTCACGTGATCAGTTTCACATAGTGGGTGGAAAATAGAAATGCGTAAAAATAACACAGTGTTAACTAAGGCCGAGAATACACTTTTTCACCTTGACCAAACAGTCATTTTGTATGGTATGATCGTCATTCATAATTTTAGGCTTAGGTGAGATAAACTGCATTTCTGAAGTGCGCTGCTCAATTGATTTTGTTATCTCCTAACTTGAGCTTTAAACATTCAAGTAGCAACTCTTCATTTTTGGCACTTGAAAAAGAAGGCTATTTTGACTTGTTTTTGCTTACTTGCAAACTGTTCCTTTTTTGTGTTGCATTATGTTCTTACTGTACTGTTTCTTCATCACATGAGCACCATGAGCATGGGAGAAGGAAAACTACTTATTATTCGTGCAGAATGACTACGTTTGGAAAATTTTGCTGGTTCATAATTAAGGTCATTTGGAACTCCAGTCTTGTAGATGAACTTCTCTTCACCAAGGCAAAAGTCATCAATGAATATTTAAATGACTTAATCAAGCAGCTTCAATATAACAATCACCATGATTGCCTTTGTGTTCGCAGCAAACAATGTTGATGGCATGTTGAATAGTAAGCCCTAATATGGGAAATTACTGTTCACCCCAAAATGTCAGAAAAATTCTATCAAAGATGAAAACACTTAACACAAATGTGGATACAGTCAAGCATGATTTGAACTTTTTTCTACTGATTTTATTTTCTTTATTAAGTTGTTTAATTGCCTTCTTTTTTGGAGTGTGTGAAGTGTTTGTGTTTCCAGTGTTAAAATGTCTATTTTCAAAGCTATCGAAACACCATTGTAAAAATAAATCAATAAAACAACTAAAAAAATAAGAAGTGGTGTAGAGTAAAATGTTATAAAAAAGGCTACATACTGTATCATTTTGTTTTCTTCTCTAGGTAGGCTATTGTTATTCATTGGCCAGGCAGAGGCCTGTAAGCAGGAATTCAAAAAAACCTCCAGATCCACTGTAGCACCAATGCAACACTTCAACAGAGAGTTTTGTTCTCTCCTTTGTACTAAAAATACTCCTCAAAACATTGGTGTTTTACTGTGCCCTTATCCAGACTTCTATTTACTGTCTCTACACATCTATGGTAAAAAAGTATTGTATTGAAAGTTTGTTTCAAAAGAGCTGTTGAGCTTTTTAATGTTTTTAGGTGAAATTGTGTTGTTAGCAAACTGATTAACAATATTCTGGACAATTGCAATGTTCACTGAAACAAAGTTGAGACCTCATGTTGAATGCAGAAGCAAGACAGTGTCACCTCTAAACAAGGGTAAAGAAAACTGGGACATTTGTGCCTTCCATAAGGTCAAAATATCTCCCTTTCTCCTGTCTCGCCCCCCAGTATATAATTTGGCTCCAGCTTTCAGAGGTAAAATAGGGATGTCCAAAACATTTCTGTCAACATAAGAGGTTAATGTTGTATGTGTTGCATTTGTAATCTGTATCTTTTTTATTGTAATTATTTTAAAACAGCAAGCTTTAATAACTTTTGACCTTATGTTTTGTGTTTGCTACTAAAACTGGGAATTTTTTTCTTTCCCCTTAAGGCACTATGGATAATAATGCAGCATTTATATAAAGCAGAAGAATTTCTCTCAACCTGTAAGCAACACATATTAACCTCATTTTGTTATTTGAAAAAAAAAACACTGATGTTATTTAACATGAGTATGGGCTTGAGTAGGAAAGATATCTTTTAGGATAAATGTTTTCCTGGATAAAAAAATGTGGAAAAAAAACAGCAAAATCGAAAACACAAAAAAAATCCAAGACATTGTTCTTGCATATACTCTAGATGGTCTGGTGTTTAAACAGTTCAAACTGGTTGCATGACATTCAGTGGCTTCCACATAATGTATTTTTTAACATTTGAAATAAAGGACAGTATCTGTGTGTGTTGAAACAAATAATGGAAACAAGACATTTTAACATTTCGCACTGTTCTTCACCATTTTCAATACTAATTTATGTATGTTTTAATTTTGAAGCCATAAAAAGCTTGTTACATAAATTTAGGCTAGTACAGCATATCATAATTAAAAGTAGTGTAGTTTTTTTTTTGCATCTCAGGAATATGTTTCAACTGGTTCCTGTTCAGAACCAGAACACTCTTCACCCTGTTTCCCCCAGTTCATTGAAACCCTGGTTATGTTGGGTTTTTAACCATTAAACTGTTAATAAAAAAGAATTTCGTGTTTTCATTGTCTGATGTCTGCTTTATTTCTTTGCCTTTAAAACATAACTTGTTATGTTTGTTACACCCCACATCAAGACCCTGAAATGTAATTATCAACATTGGTAATATACAATATAACAGTTAAAAGTTTTAGTACAGCCACACACAACAATAATATTTTTAGATGTTGAAAAATTATCTTTGCCTGATATAAGGATTTTCCCAACGATTCATTGTTGATTACCTTACCAAACTGTACAGCTTTCAAAATTTGTGAGCATACATAATTAACCAAAGAGTTAAATTTCATTATCAAGTTAATCATCCAATTCATAGTGAGAAAAACATAAAAAATAATAACATGTAGTTTTTAGTAATTTCATAAGATTAGTTGGTTTTTTTGACAGCACAAAAAAGTCCGTGTGTGGAGACTAGTATCATCAGTTAATTTCCCGAGTGTGCTTAAAAGAAATAAAAATGTGTGCAGAAGATTATGTCTCCATTTTTCTTCCACTGTGAAGGAAAACAGCTCACCAGTTTTGACAGCAAAACCTCTTTGTCCATCACTGCTTGCAGGTGTCTCTTGTATTTCCCCTTGGGTTGTGTCTGGTTTAACAGTGTTAACCTACTGAAGGGAAAGAGCTGAAAACATTTTTAGACATAAAAACAAAAAGCACAGAGGTGAGATACTCACTTTGAACTTTTCCTAATAGTGTTGTCTATGAAAACCAAGGGGAAGTGAAGGCTTGCTCTCTGCATTTGTGTCCAGAATTAAATGATCCAGAATCTTTAGATCAGGAGAAAAAAAGATGCTCAAAGGCATTTCAACATCTCAATTTAATGCAAAACCACGTCAAATAAAACCTGCAAGATAACTCTGACCTGGTTAAACTTTTTTGTTTAATATTATGCATTGACCTTTAAGATGAGCAGCATAATTTCCATCACTGTTGTCCTTCAGGGTCCCTCACCTACTGCATTAATAGGCAGAAGCATCTGCTCCTTTTTATCTCTAATGGCGATACCGAGATGCCAAGCCTTTACATAAAAGAGAGGGTACTGATAAAGGTCATTTTAACAAGAAAAGCAACATCCCTCTGGGTCATATTCCTTTAGGGAATCTCAGTTTATTCCATGTTCAGTATTTTATTTGTTGTACTCTTGAAAAGTTTCAAATTGAAGTTTCCATTTGGATTTGCAGAGGAACTACTGTAGGTCTATTGCAGGGTGACCTTGAGATGTGGCGTCCGGTACAAATTATGACAGTTTCCTGTTAAAATTCCATTGAAGTTGTACTGTAGTTTCGTTCACCACTAGAAACCGCCGCATAGAGAAAATAGTTTGCCGACAGATTCACCTGGGTTCATTGATTGTGTTGTAAATTGAAGGGAATGTGGGATGCACATGTAGGGGAGATAGAATAGAAGGGACAAAGGGAAGATCTACAGTACGTTGTAATATGGACGTTGGAACCTAATGAAATGGTAAAAAAAGGAAGAGATGTGGTCTCTAGCTCATTTATTTGTCAGTGAAGTGATTCAGCACTCAGGATCCTAGAGGACCAGCTACATTTTACCAACTGTGTCTTTATTGCTTTATTGCTTGTGATATCTATTATGCATTACAACTTTGCAACATGCAGTAATCCTTGCTTTCATTCTTAATGTGCTTTAATGTGCTTGAAAAACATCAATTATTTGTTGTTATGAATTCTGTACATAGAATTTTTAACTAAAACCTATGAAGTTGGATGATAATTCTTCATGAAAAGAATGATAATGTGGTAATGCTGAATGACAGTGTAATTACCGAGTAAGTATTTCCCTGTATGAACTGTTTGTTTACAGAAAGGCTTTAAAAAAAAAACACAGCTTTTGGAAGTAAATTGAAAATGGTAATTTGTATCCAAGGCCCCATGGGGGGGAAGGATCAGCCTTTTATATTGCAATGTGACTGTCTGAAATATAAAACATGAAAAACGTAGAACTCTATTTGTGATGTTATGTTACAAAATATTCCTTTAGGACACTCTATTGTACCTTATTTTGTTAGGAAGAAATTGATCTACCATTAAAAGGAGGTGCCTTTCATTGAGAACAGAGCCCATTTAGAAACTTCTGGCTGCATGAAAGATTAGAATCATGGCATTGAATTAAGCATTAATTATTTAATCAGACAAGGTAGTTTTCATTTTCATGAATTTCATCAAGCGTAATTAGTGCTGTTCTTTTGCTGATTCTTATTTTGGAGGTATGCTGAAATTACTTTAACACTTTAGTAACCTTCACACATGCATTTACATCATGGAAAATGAACTACGGGTGTTCTATTGGCATTATTTTCTGTTCAATGCAATGCAGTCCTTTTACGCAGTATCGCTCTATGTCCTCTTACTTATGAATTAATAGTCACTACATTCACATTCTGACTTTCAAAAAACAATGCAGAACATGGCATACTATCAATTAAATGTATTTGGATTATTTCTGTTAAGACAGTTAAATAACATGAGTTTAATAGGGTAAAACTGAATGCTAGATAAAAGAACAATGCTTCAATAAATTAAAAAATAACATGGAAATTCTAAACAATAGAATAGGAATATCATGAAATCATGATTGAAAAATATGTTACCTACTGTATGTTCAAGTATCTTGCTTTGATTCCTAGAGTGTGCCAATAAGCCCATTTCCCAGAATTTTCCAAAGTGTGTGAGGAATTCCTTTTTCTGTGGAATGAAAGCATATTGGACACTGAAAAAATATCATTTGGAATACAGTACATAGTATAACAAAGTCATTTTATTCAAAATTAATACAACATTACGGCTCACTCATTTGGCTAGATTCTGCACACAGTCTCTTGTAGTTTGTAATTGACCTATATTTTATGATTGAAGTTACCACCCCAAAGACAAGATGGCCAAGGATGAGTGGAGGAGTATTAGGAGATAAAAGGTGGGCCAAAGTCCTCTATCAGGTGTATTGAAGTACTTTTTTATTCTAATATATTAGTTTCCCCACTAGAAATAATAGTTTCTCAGAAAGAAATGGAAAGAAATGCATCTGGAAAAACAAAGTACTGCCTTGGACACTTGGATGATTCTTTTACAATTGCTGTCATGCATCTTGGATATATAGAAATCAAATGGAGCATTCTGAGCCTATCATGTATTAGTAAACTGCAAGGAAATAGTACTGTATAGAATAAAATAAGAATCTGAAGTGCAGCAGGCCAGGAGACTGCAATTTTGACAAATGTATTGTGAAAAAACAGTGCAGGTAAAAAAGCTGACAGCGAATGATCATGTCATCACCTTCATTTTTTTAATTACTGTTTGAAGGTAGACGAAGATCACCTTTTCCTAGAAAACAAAATTCTTATTGACCCTTTATGGTCTCTGTCAATTGACAAAGGAAACATTTTCCTAGCTATATTTTGTTTGTGGATCTGATAAATTCTGTCATCTCCTGACTGCTTTCTTCATTGTAATGTAATTGTAAGTGGTTGCATTGATGGAGTCTTCAAATCCCCTTCTTTTATGGCTGAATTTTCTCTACACAGCTGCAACCGATTAAACCTGTAATCTCTCGTGACTCATTTTCAACTCTAGCTTTAGTTGTCAGAGCTGACTTTTTAAAGTTAAACCTTATTGCTTGTGTTACAGTATATTAAACGCAACTAATAGAATTGTTCTCAATGTTTCCCCTATTTACATTGATTAGTTTCTAAGTAGGCAGATGAAAAACCACTCAATATATGACCCCTGGTAGAGGCATTTGCACATTGTTTTAGAGTTCCTTGCTTTAAAATGTCAGCTGTGCAAATCTGTCTGAGTTTCTTGATAAATGTAGAGGATGCCAAAACCATCCAATATTGGAACCTTGTCTTAGGGAGCACTTATTTTTATATACAGTATGTTGTAGATGTACTGTACTACCAACTGTGTCTGCAATATTAAAGTAATAAACTGGGTCCTATTAAGTGTGATGGCATGTCCAGCCTTTTCAAACTCCTTTATCTGATACAGGGTCACGTGGGAGCCAGAGCCTATCCTGGCAAACAATGCACACGAGGCTGGATACACCCTGGATTGGATGCCAGTTCATCACAGGACAGACACAGGCACACACAAGCACACAGTTACACCAGGGTCAATTTTCCCAGAAGCCAATTAACCTAGTAGCATGTCTTTTCTTTTAAACTGTGGGATTAAAGCCATTAAAACACAAGCAGAACATACAAACTCCACACAGCTAGCACACTAGGGCCCAATTGAACCTGGAGCCCCAACCCTGGGAGGTACAGTATTAGGGCTAACCACTATGACACTGTGACAAACATGACACGTGCAGTTTAAGGATACCCGAAAGAAATGCAACACTTGTGCTTTAACTGATTTAATCAAATATCTTAAACTTAGTTTATAAAAAAAAATAATCATTAGCTTGATAATACTTTAATAAGCTTTAATAAAATCAAGTTTTAAGGATAAATTGGCACATTATTTGTTGATGTTTGAAAGCTGCCTAAGGGACAAAGCAGACATAACCCCAAATGATAATATTATAATGCAGATATAACTTTCAGATTGAACACATCACATTAACACACAAGATAACAGATCCAATAAATGAAACATAATTAGTAGGGAAGAGAAAAAATGCCATTGTGTAAAATGTTAATACTTTTGTGACTGAGCAAGAATGATTTTGAATATATTAGCAGTAAGCTAATATACTGGTGGGTTTTGCATATTTGAATTGAGGAGTAAAGTCTGTAAAGTAAAGTTTGTCCAAGGGAAATGGCTAGTCTGAAACCCAAGTTGATTTTTACTTATGCCAAAGCATAATATAAATATTAAAATAAAGACATATCTAGTTACAGGATTAGCAATTAAAGTACAAGTTTAGGAGAGATAACTATTAAATAAATATAGATAGTTCCATCCATGACATTGTAAGGAGATGAGGAATTTAGATTATAGGCATATTTGAGATTAACCTGCCGGGGAAGAGGGACAGC